TGCTGAGGTATGGAGAGGCACAGAGCCGCCGCAATAGGGGATGAATAAAGATAGGGTCACTACAACAGAACATGTTGGCCGCCGGGCTGGGCCACACTCAGCCCACCAAATCACATTAGTTTGAAGAGACAATGACATGTTTCAATTTCCTGAGATGGAACGACTTAGAGGCACCATGTGGAAACCCCAGAAAGTCATGACACGAGATAGAAGTAGAAAGTAAGGATGCCCGATAATATTGACCGACCCAATATTAGCATAATTATGTAACATCTTTACGAATCATTATTGTTTTTTCCTTTCGATAATGAAAACCCGATAACGCAACACCTGGGTTTCACCAAATGATGTGAGCCCTAAAAATAATTTGGGAGAAAAACAGCTGTATATGAATGTGAAAGCCAATAGATGGCAGCATTGCAGCTCATTTTATTTATCTATTTTAATGATCAGGGGAATGTATGCTGTATGAGTTGCTGGATACAGCAACTCATACAGTGGTTTGTACAGATAAATACATAAATATTACCAGGCCCTTAATAGTATTTTGATTTAAAGGGGGGTTGGGAAGGGTATATATCGGTATTGGTTAATATCGGAATTGGAAATTAAGTGTTTGGACAATATTGGAATATTGGCAAAAAGTTAGTATCGGAAATCCCTAGTAGAAAGATTTCATATATGTGACCTTGAGTCACTTTGATTGGTTGCTTTAATCGGGATCATAAACAACCATGTGTACACCATGGAAAGAAACACATGATGACAGTTTTGACCAATGGCTGGTTGGATTGGCTCCACTTCCCGTGTGACTCTGTAAAAAGGATTAGAAGGAAGTGACTCAATTCAATCCCAATGTGTTTAAAAAGAAAAGGTGTAAAAAACGCACAGCGAACAAATTGCAACAATGTTATTCTGAATGTTGTTCAATTATAAATGCATGACAGTATAAGTGAGGAACAAATGGCGTTAAATAATCTAATTTGTTTTTCGCCCGCTCTCCATTGTGTAACGATTTCTGGCATGACCCATTAAGGACCATATGACATTGTCAAAGCCTGAAAATCATACCAACAGACAATTAGACCTGATGGCTGGGACACAATGGACATGTGCTGGATGTGCCTGTAATTGGATTTGACACTGGTTTTCAGGCTTCGGAAGAAATGGTCCAAATACACTATTCCACCGTTGGTGCTCATGCGAAAAAAGAGAAGAAGACAAAGAGTCAGTCTTTGCATTAGTTAGAAAATATTTGAGAAAATCTGAGTTTAGATTATTAAACCAGCCACTAGGGTACACAAATCAGTGTTTTATAGTTCCGGTCTCAAGCCCGGATAAATGGTGAGGGTTGCGTCAGGAAGGGCATCCGGCGTAAAACTTTTAGCCAAATCAAATATGCAAATCACTAAAACGATTTCCATACCGGATCGGTCGAGGCCCGGGTTAACAACGACCGCCAACAGTGCTGTTGACCTACAGGGCACTGATGGAAATACTGATGGACTACTGTTGGTCAAAGACAGAGAAAAAGAGGAGGGCATTTGGTTAGGAGAAAAAGAGAAAAGACGAAGAATAGAAGTGTTTCCACCCCATCCCTTACCTCAGACAGATTTTTCGGTAACGACTG